ATTTCTGGACTTGGATCTTCTTCCTTTTGATTTGTTGTGTCTGCTTTCTTTGGTTGAACTTCTTCCTCTTGACTCTGTATGCAATACATAAGAGGTCGATGGTTCACCCGACTCTCTCCGCCGGATCTCTTCACTGAGAACCAAATTTTGGACATCATCAAATCTCAACTTATTGCTTCCCGATGAGCTACTCACAGTCGTGACTGTAGCATTCCAACTTTCTGGTAGGGAAGACAAAAGTATTAAAGCCCGTACTTCATCATCGAACTCGATCTCAACTGAACTCAACTGGGTTGTGATGGTGTTGAGCTCATTGAGATGATGTGCCACCGAAGTACCTTCGGTCATCCGAAGGTTGAACAATTGCCTCATCAAATGAACTTTATTTGAGGCCGATGGTTTCTCGTACATGTTGGAAAGAGCCTTCATGAGGCCTGCTGTCGTCTTTTCTTTTGCAATGTTAAAAGCAACATTACGGGATAACGTCAGCCGGATGGCTCCAAGAGCTTGTCTGTCAAGGAGACTCCATTCTTCCTCCTTCATGTCCTCTGGCTTCTTTCCTGTGAGTGGTTGATACATATTCTTTTGGTACAGATAATCCTCGATCTGCATCTTCCAAAAGCCAAAGTCCGCACCATCAAACTTTTCAATTTTTATTTTTCCTTCGTCTGCAGCCATCACTTCGACTCTGATCCGACTTCTCTGCCGGATCGTTTCTGTAATTTTTGTGAACTACCGTGTTTCAAAACACGTCGGTAGATAAATTGTAGCGCCGACAAAATTGGTACTATTCACGTTTTTCAACGGAATAGTAACACCACACAAAAAAATACAGAATTAACAATCTGGCTCTGATACCAGTTGTTGGGAAAAATACGCTAAATTTTCCATGAAGTCGGATCTATAAAAGTGAACTAAAAATAAAAATTGGACACACCAAATTGATAACGGAGTTCGGCCAATAATGCCTACGTCTCCAGACTACTGCAGATATTTTATTAGGAAGAAAAAAATACACTCGTGTTTGCAAAACACTCTCAACCTTACTCACAACTCACAACTCAAAAATACACACAAAGGCTAAATTATTTTTAGCTCACTCTCTCTTTTTCTTCTTGAATATTGTTGTATTTTGGTGTGCTTTGATTCATCAAACTCCCCTCTATTTATAGATGGGGAGTACACATCTTTTTCAACAATTGCGTACTCCAATTTTTCAACATATGTGGGATGCTGCTGCAAGGTTGCTTCCACTCTTTTGTTTTTCTTCATTTTGCTACTTTCAGAAAAAATGGGCGCAGCCATTTTGGCCATTTTTTTTACTCAACACTTTCCTACTCCCAATTCCCGTCACTAAACTCTCATTCTCAATAATTCATTTTCCAGCACGCACCCACCCATCCTTACCGACGGCGACAATCGCAACTGTGAACAGAGACAATCGGCGTACAGAGGGATGCGTTGGAGACTGACAAGGCGAATGACAGCTTGAATTGAAGGACACATCTTCGGTTGACGACCGACAACCTCAGAGGCGAGCGACTGCGGCTATTGGTCTTGGATGTGGCTCGAGAACAGTCGTCAGCGCTTTCGGGTTGATCATCTCAGCTGAACGGCGAGGGGGTTACGCTTACGAGTTGCAGTACCTATCAGGACTAGAACGACAATTCTATTGTGATGCACCATTTTTTGGGCAGACAGTGCATTGTTCAATTTTTCTGAAATTTGTGGGTTTATGAACGATTGTTTGGGAGTGATGGTTTGGGGGTTAAGATAATAATGATTTGCGTTAGAGATTCATGATTTGTGCATTTTAATCAAAATAGACAAGGAAGATGAGCATATAATTTCTTTTACCCTTAGACCACCTCCAATCTGTCGCCACATTCCAACTTTATCGCTAGAGTGGAGAAATTGTCTCCTCCAACCCATCACTTCATTTCCACACAATTCTACATGCGTGAATATGTTTACGTCAGTTCTGGCGCAACACTGTAGATGTGCGCTACATTTTTTTTGATTTAATTCAATTTTTAGTAATTTTTTGTATGATGTGTATTAGTAAATGTATTTATTATGTTAAATAACTTTGTGCTTTTTATCTATTGGTGTATTTTATTATGCAATTTTTTTTAATATCCTAATACCATTTAAAATAAAAAAATTAGCACAGTAAAATAAGTAGATTTCATTAAAATGAAAAGTTACACACCTAGATAAAAGAAAAATACACAAACAAAACCACATGATTAATATACAGATGACTTAAAAATTTACGAAACACATAAAAAATAAAATTTTTATTTTAGATCTTGAAAAAATTAGATGTAATGTTATTGTAATCTTCTTTTCTAATGTTTCTTTCTTTTTTTTTTTTTTTCATATTATTATGTAATTTGAATTCCTATTTTTTGAATTTATGAAGCAGTGTTGTGTTGTTATACATAAATATACCTTTATTATTTAAGTAACAAAAATTTATGTAAGATTAATTATACATATATATTATGATTTATTTAAAATAAAAATTATATTTATGTAGAGTAAATTATAGCGCAAACGACTGACGATGAAACTTGAAATCTGTCTTACTCGAACTCTACCATGGAGCAGAATAAAAGGCTGAAGTTGCTCTGAGTATCGACGATGGCTATAGATAAAACAAGTAGATAAATAAAGAGATTTGTACTGTATTTATACCTAGTTGAAAAATAAAGTTTTCTAGTTTCAATGAATCTTTAAGTAAGTTATTTCTATATCTTCGTAACTAGTGCATAGCCCGTGTGATGTACGTGACACATACATTAAATAAGTCATTTCCATACGGCTTGTACGTTTAGGCACAAAACAATATAGTTGGATCATCCATTTTCCACTTAATTAGTTATGTTGATTTTAGCCAAAATGTTAACATGTCAATTAATATGTTATTCAGCTAACACATTATACTAATACAAATTTGATTTTAGAATATATATATTTAGTCATTGATATAAGAAAAAAAATTATCCATTCTTGTTCACCATATAATGCTCAATTTTATTTTATTATAAAATTTATTGTCATATAATGTCATTATTATTATTTATAAAAGTTATAGAAGTAGTCTTCTTCTTATAAAATTATGTATAATTTTGTGTATAAATGTTTATAAAATACACACACATGTTGATAAGAATTCAATTTTCTCATAATAATTAAAAAAAATGATTTAGCAATTGCTAAAAAATAAATCCCTTGCATAATCAAGAGATTTTTCTAATTCTCAGCTTTATAGTTCATTTAATATACTATGCAACATAAATATATTTTACAATAAATTCATTATAGAAACAAATCCAAAATAAAAAAAAAAAAAATTGATAAAAAAATTATCATGGTTGACAATAATATACAAATAAATCACAAGTTGAAATTTTAAAGAATAATTAATATATTTAATTTTATTATGTAGCCATTAGTAAAATTATTTACCAATGTGATCATTATATCTTAAATGGTAAATTATCTAAATTTAAAAATTATTTGTTTTTATATAATTAAATAAAGGTTAAAAAACGTTATCGACAAATATTAATACATCAAACTTAATTTCGCCTTAATCGTTAGAAGGAGAAAATTATTTAACATGTTACGATTGTTTATAAATCTTTTAGGATAAAATCCGATATTTGTGAAAAAAAAAATTAATAATATGGCTTAAATTTAAATTGTGTTTTGTTAACCGAAATATCATCAACATGAATCAACAAAAATCAAATTGTAGTTTATTATAAGATACCAATTAAATTATTGCAGAAGTTAATAAAATTATTCAAGGAAATAATCTTTTTGATCATATCTGATTTGGAAATGTGTATATACAAGCAAGTAATGCATATTTTTAAAAAATTTCCTAATAAGGTATACATTAAATATTCCTAGATTTTTTGGCTACTATTTTTAGTAAATAGTTATTCTCTTTATACAGATATATAGATATAGATATAGATTGATTTAAAATAACATAAAGCTCAAAGAAAACACATTAATTATAATTTCCTTAAGCACATAGAATAAATTTATAATCATTAATCTTCTAGGGATCTATCGGATAAAACTATTTGAATCTAAATTTAAATTTATTATTAATAAATATTATTTTTGAGTTTAATACGTATATTAAAATAGTATCATAAAATAATTTATATAATGTTACTTTGTCCAAAACATTTTTTTTATAGATTTATAACTACTTGTTCGACTAAATACTGATTGCATAAGCATTTAAAATTAAACATAAATAATTGAAATAATTAATAATAATTATAATAATAATAATAATAATAACAACAATAATAATAATAATAATAATAATAATAATAATAATAATAATAATAATAATAATAAAGTTCATGAAGTATAATTTAAATAGTTAGGATGTTACAATTAATAATAACTAATACAACACTCGTATACTACAGGGTTACTTGTTAAGAAAATTATTTTTATAATAAAATAATAACAACAAAAAAATTATTTTAGTTTTTACACATGTTTTTGAAAAATAAAAATGTATTATTATTTATTTAAAATGATATCGTCACTTACCTGACTTACCATCTTATATTATATATATTTTTAATTTATATGAGATAATTACTTTGTAGTTAAGTTAGTTTACATAATTTTATTTTTTTAAATTAATATTAATAAGTAATTTAATTTTAATATAAATAAAATTATTTATTTATTTTGTACAATATAAAAAAATTGAAACTGATCAAAACATTAGATATATTATATTTTTAAAAATTAATAATAAATAAAAATTTATTAACTTTTAAATATATTTTTAATTAAGATAGTAAATTTGTTATAATTTAAAAAAATAGTGAGAAAAATAAAAAAGATTAGAAAAAAAATTATACACGTCCGCAATAGAAAATGATATTAAAACATAATTAATGCTATGAAAGAAGACTATAAATATCAGTATATTTATGAATATTCCAAGTCTAGTTACTTTTGAATTGAAAATAAATTAAAATTTATCCAAAACCGAACAATAAAGTTTAAAAATTTGCCACATAAGATTACGTAACATGCGAACCTACCACTTAAGCTCCCCACATTCGAGAATTACATGCAGAAAGAAGTTAAAAAAAACGTGCAACCCAATATTCACAACTTTTTTGTTCATTAATCTGAGAACTACATTATGCTCTAACACTTCTTTTATCTCAATTTATGGAGAATCATGATCACAATTTTCGTTTCTCAAACTTATCAACTTTCCTTAGAAGATTTCTGCCCAGCCTTTCCTCTCAGCTGTTGCTTTTCCTACCTCATTCCAACAAAAACAACCCCATCACGACATTTTAGATTCACTATATAAATCAGCCAACAAAGTCTCTAAGAACCCTACTCCCATAATGCATCTGATGCCCGTTCTCGGCACTTTGCCTGAGGCCTAAAGTCAACGAAACTGGACCCAATCCCCCCGTTTCGACTCCATTCAATGGTGGCAAAAACCCCATTAACGACCCATTAATACCGTCACTATTTGGAACGTGGTAATAATTCATTCTAGATCGCTTTTCTGTAGGATCCAAATTCGAACAACTGCTCCTTCTAATTGTATTTGAGCATTGACCAGTCGTCTCATTTGGTTGACCGCAAACAGTGGTTGTTGCAGTTTTATTATCCGTGCACATGTCGGAATTTCCTTTTGTTTCTAGCATGTGAATTTCCTCGACCATTGGTTTCCACACTCGGACTCGGGCATTGATGAACCAATTTGACACCTGAAAATTCGGTCAAGGGCGAAGTTGCTCTTACATATTTCAAATGGCATAGAGATAGACCAATTATAATTATATATATATATATATAAGAAATGCAGAATGATCAACAAAGTTAAGTTAAAAATACCGCATAATAGACTTCGAATCTGCTTATAAGAGATTTAACACAAATTTTGAGAGATAGGATATACTTATGAAATTATAAAATCTTGCAAAGAGCCATTTTTGCCATTCCAAGCATGTTGACAGATATCACAACCTGAATTTTCATTTTTCCAATGTGCGAAAAAAAATATATATTTTTCTTAACAGCAACAGAGATAAAATTGCTCGCTCTTTTTTGGTGGCTACAGCCAACGAGCCAAACAATTCAGACAGAGTTAAACACCAGAAATGGAAATAACCAAAACCTGATTTCTTGTCAGACCAGTTTGTGCAGCCAGCATATGCTTGTCCGTGTCCGTTGGATACCTACACAATAAACACAGCTAAAAAACTCAAATAAAGGTCCAAAACATTGTGTAGAGAGAGAGAGAGAGTAGAGATGCTCACGGATGAAGAAAATGATCAAACAGCCACGCACGTAAAATAGAGACAGCCCGTTCGGGAAGGCCTCTTTGAGGCCTCCAAACATGTGGGCCTTGAAGAAGGCCCACATTGTTCTGCTTTTGAAAGCTTTGGTCGAAAAACTTAATCATAGAACTACTAGCACCAACTTTGCCACTGCTTATACCGGCAGATGGTGATGATGATGGATCCTCTCCAATTGCGCCACGAATGTCCTTGAGTTGCTCGGTTATCGAATTCTTTAGACACCGGAAGTTTTTCGACACCATTTTTAAAGCTAAAGAAATGTATGGAGTGGCGGCACTTAGGCCTGCCACAGACTCAAAGGATGACACCACCATTTGCATCTGTTGTTGATACTGTTTGTACCTTTTGCACACCTGTTTTTATACGAAACATGAAAGTTTTTGTTACATATATATATATATTAATTATTCTACAATACATAAGGTAACAAAGATTGCAGTTTGTATTTTGTAATAGAATAAGAGAGAGAAGTTAAGTATGTCTATTGGACAAGTCGGGTACACTTGTCGAATACCTTATGTTATGGTAACAATTTAGTAATTAGTAATGTTTTGTATGGCACACTACTGTATGTTACCAACAATGTATTTATCCACACTACTGTATTTAAGCTTGTACTATCTTTGTTTCGCATAAGTTGGTACTTTCTTGAATCATAATCTGTCCTGGTATGCATGTGATCTAAGATAAAAGAAGAACACTAACATGCATGTCCCACAATATGCGAAAAGCTACAATTTATATAAAAGCACATCACAGTCACAAGTTTGGGGCAAGGTATGGCCTGCATATTGTCCATCTTTCGGTTTAAAAGTAAATGACAGGACTTGTTAAATAATGACTAACAGGACAAAAGTAACAACATTATTATGAGAAACTGAGCTTACTAAATTTATTGATCAAGGTCTCAATTTCCTGGTGGTTTGTGTGAAACTACTACACATTGGTGAGAAATCATGGGTTAGTATTCAGTTAAGCTAATCTTTCAAAAACTACTCTAGATAGATAGACCTTTGTGATGAATGTATTACGTAAAAAAAAAAAAAAAAAAAAAAAAAAAAAAAAAAAAAAAAAAAAAATCTTCAAAGGTAATGATATAGTACCTCGTCAAGGAACTGATTGTTCACAATTGCAGCGTACTTTATGTTCCATTATATATTGGACAAATTATAAATTGTACAGTAACATTATAATTATACCCGACACTCATCTAATATAGTGAAACATGAAGTGGAAGCACAATAATGGAAATGAGTTTGGGCCATGCTAGCTGTTTGCTGGAGAATAGAAGTGAACCAATTGTATTAATAGAACGTTTAATTCATATTTGGTCCTCTACATATAGGAAATGACATGATTGGCCCAGAAATACTAGATGTCGTAATTCTAGTTCAGTATGCAAAGTTTAGCACAAGTTGAGATCCATAAACATGAAGTAGCATAACTGATCATGTCATCATTGACAGAAACTGGGGGAAAATGGGTGCTGGCCCACTACCACGAAGGACACCATGAAAGAAGGGAAAAAACCCATATAGCCCATTAGTCTTATAAGGTGGGTCTTATAAGTTGTCCTTCGAAAGCCCAAGCCTACTACAAACAGGCGCTCTTATACCATGACAGAAACTGGGAAAAATGTCTTATAAGGTGGGTCTTATAAGTTGTCCTTCGAAAGCCCAAGCCTACTACAAACAGGCGCTCTTATACCATGACAGAAACTGGGAAAAATGGGTGCTGGCCCACTACCATGAAGGACACCATGAAAGAAGGGAAAAAACACATATAAAGCCCAAATGGGATTCCATCCCAAAACCAATTGGTGGAAGGAGGAGTAGCCCATTAATCTTATAAGGTGAGTCTATTTTCCATGTATGAACGATGTGGGACAACTCACAAGTGATATTCTAACAATCATGAAGTAATCAAGGCAAGGAAAAACCCTACAACAAATGTTGGGCAATTTTTGGTGTAGTCATAGAAACTCCAATGTTGTGCTCTTTGTGATTGTAATCAATAAGAACTCGTGGGACCAATACTAAGCAGGAATAGCATTAGAGCTTTTCAAACCAATGCTCATCCATAAACACCACAAAATCCATCAATCCGTCAGTCAATCACTCGACACCAAACAAAAGACACATAACTACATCCAAACTTAATTTTCACATGAAATAAGCCGGTGTGAAGAATAGAAGATAGCTTCAATTCACAAGAACCAACTTGTCGCCCAACAAACCAAGTTCATCCACTAATCCACAACACATAACATAACAACCTTAAAATCCAAAGCAACAAAAAAGAAAATATAAATAAAAATAAAATAAGAAACTGACCTCATCCTGCATACACAATAGCTTTGCCTTCTTCTGAAAATTGTTTTCATTAGACCCGTTAAACCCAAATAAGGAGCCAGCAGCTAATGGATTTGATCCAGGCCGTCGATCATCATCATCTTCAACAAAAACCCTATCTTGCTCTAAAATCTTACCAATCCCCTCACAAATCTGAGTATTGACAGGCCGGGCCATGCAGCAGAGCTCTTCCAACAACACTTGCGCGGGCCTCAAAAACCTCGAAGTCCTCAGAATCGTGGCATAGCCCGTGAAAGGCCCAAGCGGGCCCGGACACCGATTGCCTATCAAAGCCTGAGCACTTTGACGAGCGCTCCCTGAAAATTTATCACTGCCCGAAAAAGTCAAATCTCCTTGGTCAAACTGAGCCTTGAAAGACGGGAGGGATGAGAGGGAGAGAGCAAGTCCCTGTTGAGTGTAGTGAACGCCATCTGCAAAATGATGGATTAAGTTATCCGGGCCCGAAAGAAGCCCGTCGGGCCTACTGGATTGCAAATCACAACTGGAGACGAGCTCCTGCAGTGGATTTTGATAAAATGAGGCAGCCGTAAGGCCACAATTATGGGATTGCGAGTCCAGATTAAAATCGCCGTGGATAGGGCTGGGAAGGCCCGGCCCGGAAAGGATACTCGGATCCTGACTCCAACAAGTGTCCGAAACCTGATTGAAGTTAACTGCTGGGACTTGTCTACACAAATTATTATTATTATTATTGTCAAGGTCTTGCTGATGTGCAGCCAAACAGTCCCTCCGTTGGGCAAAATCGCGAAATCCAGAGTGTTGGTAATTTAGAACATTCTCAACTTCTTGCTCATTGTAAGCTTGTTGGTGAAGGATTCTGAGCCTGTCACGCCGCCTTTGCTGGGCCACGTGGATTAAGTTGTTCGTCTCCATCGAAGATAGAAGATTATTACCACATTAATTCCTTGCAACTGAAATACAGACACTAGACCGGAATTAGATAAAATTCAGCTGCATGCCAAAATTCACCACAAAATTATTTTTAAAACAAGCAATGGAAAACAAATACGTGTTCACACGTCAATACAAATTAATTTTCAGACGTAGTTGAAATGTGGGCAAAAGATTGTGAAAGGGAAATTATCCGAGTATGAAGCCAGAAAGAGGAAAAAAAGGCATGTGGTGAGGCTATAGTATTGCGCTTCTAGGCCAAGCAAACAGTGAATAGACTTTATATTCACTGTTCAATCATATGGCTTATCGTTTAAAAACAATACAAAAGAAAAAAGACTTGGCTTGAAACAGCAAAAAAAGCTTGAAATAAGAACACGAAATGTGTATAAATAAATTATCGGACAACGTACTGTGCAAAATAATAAAGATTCATAGCTAGCGTACGGAGAAAGCCATGTCTACACCTCTAAAAAACCCTAGAATTTCAGGTCTACCTAGTTTTTGATATTCTTCTGAAAGATCTAAACAACTGTTGCACAAAATTCCGGATCCCATTTCAGAAACTTCAAAAAAGCTAATAAAATTCTCTTTGCAGCACATCCCAAATACTGAAATTTAAGGGAA